TTTAGTAAATAATGTAGACCGACAAAACAAAATTGTCATTACATTTGAATGATAGAAGTCAAAAATATCAGTCTCATTACTCAATTTACAGACCTCGCATGTCAATAAATGATCAGCTGTTACCTGTTGTCACGTTTCGATGTCTTGGAAAATCGTGGAAACCATGAAACGTCCTCACAACATAGACACAAACAGCAGATATCAGAACAGCTGGTCCTCAATGCATCCCTGGTCACTTAGCCCCAAGGTAGCGAGAAACCCGGCTGAATTTCAGAATCGCCCTCGGCTATTTGGAATATCCAGCAAAATTTACACATAATTCAGGTTTATTTTGTATAAGGTCGAGCAAACAAAAGCTCTCTTGGTCGGTCTATATTATCACTTCTGAAACGTGAGTAAATCCTAAACAGGCTTCAATTCGCTTCTTTCAGTACCCTGAAGTACACAGATTTGACACGGAGATTTACTGACAAATATTTAAACGCGCTAGAATTACGAAATTGTGTTTACCTTGGCATGTTGTTACTTATTTCTTGAAAAAAAAAATGTAACAAGAAAATAAGATAGGGATTTGAAGTAACTTTAGTTTTCTCCCAGGAGAATTCTGTGATAGTAAAGGAAAGCAAAAAATGTGTACACTGTGTGGTGTGGTCCAGTGGCTTCAATAGTTCTCTGGCATGATACTTTGGGGACCGAGGCGAATATTACTAATGGAGCAAAATAACCGTGTCAACGCCTTATTAAAAATATTAAAGGTTTAAAGAAATTAACAGGTTCATACATATGAAGGTTTATCCGATTCGTCACTGCAGAAGCTGGTTCAATAATGTGTTGAGGATCCACGATTTATTATACACTCATTGACATGCCTGAGCATCATGCTGATGGTGGTCGATATCCTGTTGGGATATCTCATTCCAGGCTACTGCAACTGTAAGTAGGAGCTGCTACAGTCTATGGAGGGTGTTGCAAATTAAAAGAGCCTGCAACCTATCATGTCCCAGACATGTTCAATTGGAGATAGATCAGGCGATCGTGGTGGCCAAGGTATCGGTTGATGCGATGTTGATCCATGAAGAGAAACTATGCTCTGGCAACATGCGGTCTGGCATTTTCTTGCTGAAAAATCGTTTTTTGCTGGTGCTTAGGAATGGAATAACATGAGTCTCCACTACTTATACAGGGTGACTTCGAAGTTGAGTCATTTATTTTAACAGTGAGTAGATCTGATCAAAAGAAATGTTTTTTCCTTTACCATTTTTCTGGTAAAATTAAAGTAACAAAGTTATAGCCCTTTGGAAGTTTGAGTACCGCCCTGTCTCAATAATAATATCATGTGCTCGTGTTTGGCAACGACGGATATAATCCGCCTTATCGGTTCATCGCATCGGAAACAAAAAAGCGAAAGAATTTGGAACGATGTTTTTACAATTATTTTATTCAGTTCAGTTATACATACAGTCAGTGTCAGTCGGTAACGCGTGTGAATAGTGTCTGTTGCGTGGCTCAAACGAAATAAAAAATGGCACATGTTTATGCGGATCGGTGTCCCAATCGAGTGCAACCAACCCCTCGTGCCTTTGTTAATGTAGTACAACGGGCTCGTGAATCAGGTGACTTAAGACCTCAAAGGGGATCTCACGATCAAATACAGGTCCGCACTGAAATACTTGTCGGGAGGATACTTTATAAAACAAGGTAATTTTTTTTTTAATTTTTTTTTATTTTTACAGATATTTATCATTAAAAGAACATTATTTACTAAATTTTATTTTCAAAGTTTTCTTTTTAGCACAATTGTTGCCTCTGAACGTCGTAATAACTGCTTTGGGCCAAACAGCATAGCAGAAGATTATGTAGCATTGACCTTCAGACAATGTCTCTTACAGTAATTTTCAATAATGACTCTATCCAAGTTCGGTTTGAATGACACTTCGTGCGAATCAAATGACATAGTCAGCTGAGAGTCGACTGCTTAAGTTTGAAGACAAACATGTAAATGAAACGTATAAGCTAAGTAGAGTAACGGTCCCATCACGGAGCCTTGAAGTACATCGGATGGAATATATCTTAGGTGTAAAAATGTTTATCAATGTTCTGAATACTGTCCTGAGTTTCACCAGACTCATTAATGTTGATAGTAGAGGCTTTAATACCAAAATATCACTCGCTTATCAGCTGTACACCTCAATAGACGTCAAAACGTGATGTAGCATTGTGACAGGAAGATTGAAACCGAGATAAAAGCGGCACACAGGCGGCTAGCCAAAGCTACATCGAGCATTGATTTTCGGGTTGTTTCTTGCAGCACGAAGAACATCGATTCTCCTGGTATATTAGCTATAATGGTTGGTGTTTAAATAAATTCTGTCACTGATACTGGACAGTCAGACATCCCAGAGTGTTATAGTCTATCGTGCTACAATTTTAAATGAATTTTCCAGCTATTTCTCTAGTGTTTATCCACACACTGATATCTTTGCAGAAAGTAAAAGTAATTATCAATTTATTAGAAAGGTTTCTGTGTTTTTTATAGACCACCAAAGCTTAATTTTAATGTTATAGTTCCTGATTTTGGTAACATATTTTCCTGTCTTTACCCTTTAGTTAATGAAATTATTTGTTTGGGAGATTTTAATTGCAACTTATTTAACCTTCAAAATCCACTGGTACCCTTATTTAAAAATTATAATCTTACGCAAATCATTAATAAACCTACACGCATTTCTGGAACGGTTTGTCCTCTGCTTGATGCGATATTTGTCACTAACTTGTCGATAGTGGCTAGGTCTGGGGTTTTATCGGCGGAGAATATTTCAGATCATAAATTGATTTACTGCGATCTTAATGTTTCAAAGGAAAGTAAATCACCTAAAATAATAAAACATCGTTCTTTTAAAAATTTTAACCTAAATAATTTTCTAGCAGATATGCAAAGTTTGCCGTGGAATAATATATTATATGAGAATAATATTGATAATAAAATAACTATTTTAAATAATCTAATTTTTACATTGTTCAGTAGGCATGCACCAATAAAAGAATCACTAATAACAAAACCAAAAGCGCCTTGGTTAACTAACAATATTAAATTATTTATGAAACAAAGAGATGCAGCACTGCAAAAATTTAAAAAATCGAAGCTGGGTAGATTATAAACATTTAAGAAATTTTACTTTATCGTTGATAAGAACAGAGAAGAAGGAATACATAGAATCTTTTGAATGTAACTCCAAAAAACTCTGGTCAGTTTTAAAAAGTTTTAATATCTGTTCTACAAAAAATAATGAAATTCCCCAGTCTTTATTTGAACCTGATGATATTAATAGTTTTTTGCTGCTTTTCTACAAAATAAATCTGTTCGGAAAAAATTTAATTTTATAAAAACAATGCCTTTAAAAATAACTTAACCTTTAACTTTAAATTAACAGAAATAACAAATATAAACAAAATTTCAAAAACAATGTATTCTGAATTTTTTTTCTAAATTACCTTTGTAAAAAGATTATTTGTTTTATTCAATATTTATTATTATTATTATTAGTATTATTATTAAATAAAGATCACATAATTAGAGCATCTAGGAAACTAGATAATAAGTCAACATCAGGAGTTAATTTTATCCCAGTCTTTGTTGTTAAGGACTGAATACATTTATTAGCTTTAACATCATCCTAAATACCAAAGTGCGGAGATAAAATAAAAATTGACAATTACCTTGATAGATATAATAATTAAGTAAACCATTTGAAATTATCTTGTGCTCAATAACCTATACTCCCGTCAGAAGTGCAATAACGAGCATGGTTTTACGACCAAAAAGATCATCTGACTGGTGGACAGTTGCCTTGCAACTTGGAAAATTCTACCCAAATTCAAATCTCGATATTTTCGGAACGGAAAAAGATAACGAGTTGTGGTATTAGGGAGGTTATCGATTAATTCTTTAAAAATACGTTCAGGGTTTTGCCGGTATATTTCTTTTATTTGATTCACTTATAAGGCTGAGCAAAGAAAGTCAGGTTTTCCGAAGCTAATATCAAAGATGCAGTCTTATAGACCGAACACAGATCGTCGGGTATGGGGATACACCTCAATGCCTCATACTCCTACTTCACGGGTGCCTCAGGGATCAAATCTAGGGCCCCTATCATTCATAATATATATTAATGACCTGCCAGTGCAGCTATCTAAACTGGAGCTATTTTTCGCAGATGATTTGATGATATCTAGTGCAAATGAAAATTTTAGTGGCTGTATGAAATTGCAGCAAGACCTGATTAAGTTGAATAAATGTTGCGTTTTCGACAAACTAAATAATATAAACATAACAAAATGTAAAATTTTGAGCTTTACTCTCAAGCATAATCCTATTCTGTTTACTTACTACATTAGTAACACCAATCTAGAGAGATGCCACACATTAAAAGATCTAGGGGTTATATTTGACAGCGAATTGACGTACTGATACCATATGGTCTCAAATAAAATATTAAAAAACTGGTTGGGTTTTGCTGATGTGAACAGCCATAAAACAATATACTCATCTTTTACAAGGAGTAAACTGGAATATGCTGCACTGGTTTGATCGCCAATGTATCAAAATGCAAATTCAGCTATTGAATCTGTCCAGCGTAAGAACCTGAAATACATCCATTTCAAAGTTTATGGCATATGTATATCGTGGAAGAGGCTTCTGGCACGATATGCTACTTCAAGTCATGAATTTTGATGCGCTTGTTTAATGTCGTCAATTAAATGACATTATAAAGCTTCATAATCCGGTTAATAATAAACTTAATTGCCCGTAATTATTATCTAAAATAAATTTTGTGATGCCAAAGAGATCAACTCGCTCTAATGCTACAGCGTTAGGGTAGAACCAACATATCAATGCTAAAAGGATTTGTCATATCGATACCAATCAGGTGATTTTAAGCAGTTTCAAGCAATGTTTCCTTTTACAAATAGAGCCGTAATTTTTAGATATATATTTATTTGTTTATGTTTCTGTAACAATGTTTTTCATTCATGTTTTAAATATATTTTGTAAAATGAACCTTTATACACATGTGCACTGAGCTTGATGTTTATTATTTGGTGCAACCCAATCTTATTATTATAATAGTGGCTGGATTATAAATCAGCTAGCCACAGATGACGCTGCTGTAGATGGTGCTACTAAACGGTAGGTATCCACTATCTGTCCATGATGGTCCAATACCAGGAATGCGGTAGGTGTTGGGGTCGGCACAGGCGTGGGTGTGGCCACAAACTCTACCAAATTGTTATCATTGTGGTTGGTCACTGGAATCACTATGCCGCTCTCAGCGTAGCTGATAACATCCGGAGATATCACGATGTTTGGATATTCTTTAAGCTCCGTATGATGCAAGGATGGAGCGTTTCTTGGAATCGGATAGTACCTCATTCGGTAGTCTTTAGCATTGGAAGTGTACATCTCGACATCCAAACGATCTGCCACCTGCAAAATTACCAACAAAACATCAATAAACGACAGTAGTAGATTAAAAATGGCGTCAAATCGGTAGACTCTGCAGTTCCACGCAATGCTGTCATTGGTTTATCAAGGTTCGGTACAAGTTTGTCCATTTAACAAAAGTTAACCACGAACATTATAGTTCTCTTTTTTTCAAACGCATACCCTCTAATTTTGCTTGAACAATGTAGAAACAATTGTAAATAAAGTTTTATACAGGGGTTTCAGTTTATTATTGCATAACTTTAAGATTCGATAGAACTTTTAAAATTAATGCATAAAGTCTATATAAACATATACATATACAGGGTATTTAAATTTACTTTTTATTTTTTTTTTTAATATTTCGAACAATATTTGATGTATAACAGTGAAAATTAGTGTACGAGGGTTTTTTGGTACGACAAAACGAACCATGGGCATAGTTTTACTGTAGCCGCTAGAGGGCGCTCTCTACTGGACCTGTAGTGTATTAAAATGACCGAAAAATTTTTTTCTTAGTGCAATTTTTTGCTTTTTGAATAAAAAAAACTGATTCTTCGCACTTTTCAACATAAAAAAGCTCTCTTGTGAATTTTCGTTATAGTTAGCCGTTTTTGAGATATTTCGATTTTTAAGGTTCGATGCATTTTTAATTATTTATGATAAAATAACGTCAAAAAGTCAGTATCTCGATAATTTTTAGAAGTAGGCTGTGCCTGCAAATATTTTTGAAATTGAAAGCAGAATAAGGTTAAACGTCAATTAGTTGACAGTTAGTTTTGTTGTCTGTTGAAACCTGAAACGTTTTTTTGCAATTGTGAATGAACGAAATTTAGTTTCTTTTACCAGTTTTTTTTTGTAAGTTTTATAAAACTGCCATTTTTATTCTCCAATCAAGAGTTAGCGGATATTCATTTTGTGTATGGCTTTGTAAATGGAAACGCAGCAGAAGCAGCCAGAGAATACGCACGAAGATTTCCAAACAGACGACATCCAACTCGCTCAGTATCTGTAAGAGTGCATCGCCAAATAATTGAAGATGGTTTTGGAAATCTCCAAAGGGATCAAAACATAAATGTTCGTCAGTGCAGATTTACCCGTATGATTCTGCGTGAGTTTGATAGAGATCCGACCACAAGTGTTAGGAGAGTTTCTGGTGCCTTGGGAATTTCAGCAAGCCATGTTCACCGTGTTCTTAGAAATGACCATAGACTTCCTTACCATTTGCAACCTGTGCAAGGACTACAGACAACTGATAATAATAGGGAGTTTTTAAGTAACGTTTTATGGACCGATGAGTCATGCTTCACTAGACGTGGAGTGGTAAATTTTCATAATCAATTTCGTCGCATGAAAATCCGCATGCAATTCGGGAAAGAAATTTTCATCCTGAATTTAGTGTGAACGTGTGGATTGGTGTCTACCGTAATCGACTATTTGGACCCTACCATTTGCCTGCAAGGTTAAAGGCTGCGACCTTCTTGGAATTTTTAAAGGCTGAAGATGCAAATATGTAGGATGATGTTATGTTAAATTTAAGAAGATTGGCCGGGTTCCAGCTTGATGGTTGTCCAGCTCATTATTCGAGAATAGTTAGAAACTGGCTGGACGAGAATTATCCAGAAAGATGGATCGGCCGTGGAGGACCAGTCGCCTGGTCTCCACGATCCCCTGACCTAAATCCATTAGATTTCTTTGTGTGGGGATTTCTAAAAGAAAAAGTGTATCAGACTCCCGTAACCACAAGAGATATGCTAATAGACAGAATCAGGAATGCATGTGATGAGATAAGGCCTTATATGAATAATGCTATACCACGTTCGATCATTCGTAGATGTGAATTGTGTATAGAACAATTGGGTTTACATTTCAAGCAATTACTTTAGATTTTATATGTTTGTCCTAACTATCCAATAGCATTTTAGTTGTAACTAATTATTTTAATTTGTTAAAAATAATATTGGAAAATTAAACAAATTGATATTCTGTTTTTTGTGTTTATTTGGAGTTAGGAATTATTGCTGTATTTAAAAACACAGTCTAAACGATCATCTTAATTACTTGTAATGACCAAATCAGAAATGTAAAAAAAAATATTATTTTCCCATGAATAATTAAAAAGAGAGCTTTTTAATGCAGAAAAGTGCGAGGAATCAGTTTTTTCATTCTAAAAGCAAAAAATTGCACTAAGAAAATTTTTTCGGTCATTTTAATACACTACAGGTACAGTAGAGAGCGCCCTCTAGCGGCTACAGTAAAACTATGCCCATGGTTCGTTTTGTCGTACCAAAAAACCCTTGTATACCAATTTTCACTGTTATACATCAAATATTGTTCGAAATATTTATAAAAAACTATTTTAGAAAGTAAATTTAAACACCATGTATTTCGGAAGCCACGCATTTTTCGACCCATGTTTATATAGACTTTATGCATTAATTTTAAAAGTTCTATCGAATCTCAAAGTTATGCAACAATAAACTGAAACATCCTGCGTTATTCAGTCGACATGTTGACTGTCGTTGTAGGTACACAAAACTTCGTTTGCAATTGTTTTCACATTGCTCAAGCAAACTTAGAGGGTATGCGTTTGGGCAAAAGAATTTTGTTCCTGGTGAAATACGAATAAATATCACTTTGATTTCCGAACTCATCTGTTTCTAGAATCTGGGCATATCGTAAACAGGCTCGGGCTGATTGAATGATTTTAGCTTTACTGATTCCATCAGCGGCGTGTAGAGGCTTGAATCGAAATGTAACATCCACAAAGCCTCTGTGCTGTGCGAGTTCCGTACAAAGTAATAAATTCCTATTTAGTTCATGTAGCCACACGTTTGTAGGATTGCAAACCGAAATGTACAGATGCGAACGCCCGTAGCGTCGGTCATATGAAACGCTCTAATCTCGGGGTCAACCGCCGAACATTCCATGTTGGTGTGCTCAAACTGGTGGAAATACCGAAAATTGTTCATACCTTTTTGCTTGTGAGTAATTAAGCCGCCGATTGTGTTTCGACTAGAGGGGTTCTTTTCGTTGTAACAGAAATCATGATCAGCTATATCATTAAATGATTGTTCATTTCTACGAATTTTGATAATAATGAGACTTTCATATTTTGTTGCTTCGAAAAGTTGCTGGTAATAAAAATGTCGATAGGTAGTCCAGTTAAATAGCTGAAACAGAGACAAAAGTGATAACATAGCCACAAAGTTATTTCCGCTGGCGTAGTGGTGTAATAAAGGACAGGTGGTCAATGTCCTCCTGTGGTATCTCATTCCAGGCAACCACCAAACTCCTCTCGAAGTGCTTCTAGAGTCTGAGGAGGACGTTGCAAATTGAGCAATCTCCTACCCATCATATCTCACACGTGCTCAATTGGGGATAAGTCGGGAGATCTTGGTGGCCATGGTAACAATGTGACATCATTATGTTGAAAGAAGTCTATTGTGACTCTTGCGACATGTGGTCGGGCATTATCTTGTTGGAAAGTTGGATCTGCCAGATAGGGTAAAAGATGGGGTTCTAGAACTTCGTGGATATAACGCTGCGCGTTCATGTTACCTCTGATGAAGATTAAAGGTGACCTGGAACCATAAGCTATAGCACCCCAAACCATAACTCCAACAGTGTGATGAACATGTCTTTCACCAAAAAACTGTGGATTCCTCCTTTCACCACGTCGCCTTCTAACCCTGGCACGACCATCGTGCATGCCTAAACAAAATCGAGACTCGTCACTAAAGACAATACTGTTCCATTCCTGATCCCAGAGTGACCGTTGTCTGCACCACTCAAGGCGATTACGTCGGTGTTCTCGAGATAAAGGGAGGACCCAGTGTGGCCGGTATGAAAACAAGCCAAAACTTCTCATTCGTCGGTAAACACTTCGCATGCCAATAGGTCTTTCGTGTTCTGCAAACCATTCATTTGCAATGGACCTGGTAATGGAGAAACGGTCCCTTAAGGCCAATAATCTTAGGCGGCGATCTTCACGGTCTGTTGTTCTACGGCGGCGTCCAGTGCCCCTTGCTCTTTGCGTACGGCCTTCTCGAAGCCATGCCTGACAACACCTAACCACAGTGTCTACACTTCTTTGCACTCTAACTGCAATTGCCCGAAAAGAAAGTCCAGCTTCCCGAAGTCCTACTATACGGCCCCTATCAAACTCACTAAGTTGACGAAATCGTACAGGTCTCCGTACTCTAGGCATCGTAACCGATCGTAAAGGGTGTCAAGAACCAAAATCCGCCAACGTTGATTCTTTACTGCGGCTGAAATATTCATTTTTAGAGCGTTAGTGAATTTAAAAAAAAAGCAGTATAAAAACCGTAATGTGCCACTGATAAGGCTGAAAATTTTTTCACTTCTTATTTACAGTAAGATAAATACATTGACCAATAATGTCTTCTCAATCAATAAAACTAGAAAATATTGAATTTCGAATTTTGCTAGGGTTATAAAATTCGGTTTATACAGGGTGACTTTGAAGTTGAGTCATTAATTTTCAGATAATGATTGTAGAAGGAAGATAAACCAAAATATGTGTGTAAAAATTAAAAAAAAAATAAAAAAAAATGTTTACCTTGTTTTTTAAAGTATCCTCCCGACAAGTATTTCAGTGCGGACCTGTATTTGATCGTGAGGTCCCCTGTGAGGTCTTAAGTCACCTGATTCACGAGCCCGTTGTACTACATTAACAAAGGCACGAGGGGTTGGTTGCACTCGATTGGGAAACCGATCCGCATAAACATGTGCCATTTTTTATTTCGTTTGAGCCACGCAATAGACACTATTCACACGCATTACCGACTGACACTGACTGTATGTATAACTGAACTGAATAAAATAATTGTAAAAACGTCGTTCCAAATTCTTTCGCTTTTTTGTTTCCGATGCGATGAACCGATACGGCGGATTATATCCGTTGTCGCCAAACACGAGCACATAATATTATTATTGAGACAGGGCGGTACTCAAACTTCCAAAGGGCTATAACTTTGTTACTTTAATTTTACCAGAAAAATGGTAAAGGAAAAAAACATTTCTTTTGATCAGATTTACTCACTGTTAAAATAAATGACTCAACTTCGAAGTTGATTTGAAGACATCAACCTTTAATATCAGGTTCTTCAAATTTTTTGATATCTTAGATTTGTCAGAACACAGTTCTACACTAAAATACAATTTGTTTTTTCAATTCCAAAGATGATCATTATAAACCTAAAGAAAATAATTTATAAAAACTAGGCAAACACTTATCTAATTAAACAAATTTAATAAATTCCTTTACTTGGAGGAGGTAGACTCATTTTGATAGTTCATTAATTTTAAATAAACTTTAATCCGCTGGAGGTTATTTATTATTATAAATTAATCTCACTCACCTGCTCGTCTTGACGTCCTTTGTGTGCCCCAAGACCATGCAGTTGAACTGGATGGTAAGCCGGAACATGCGTTGGACGTGATACGCTTGGATGTGCCGTTGTGAAACTGCTACCAGTGTCAGTCCTTCTAGCATCTTGATAGTATGCTCGATGGATAGAGTTTGACGGTAATAATTGTAATTGAACCGTCGCCGTCATTGGAATTTTGTTCGGATGGCCTGTCAGAAAAGGTTTATTTATCAAAGAATGGATTTAAAACAAATCTACAAGTTTAATCTTCAAAATGTGGGCATTTTTTTTTAAATGGATGTGATGATACCGCGTTTCAACAAGCTATACAGAGTTATCGGTAATTCGCCGTATTCCTTCCAGAACGTGATAGAGTGCCTAAAATGACGTGCCAATATTTCTAGAGTAGAAGTTTTCGTCTCGTGCTCAAAAACAAAAAAATTAACAATCAATCCAAGTTTTTAAGCCTGTAAGTGCTGTTTTTTTTTACACATGCTATGTGTATTTTATAATTGTTTAACTACTGTTACAGGGATCCGGTTTTTATCAGGTTACTAAATGTTCTCATCAACTTAGTAAATAACATTTAATAATGATGACATAGCACATCGAAAGCTAGAGAAAAAAGTTACCAGAGTACCAATTTGTCAAAGTATCCAATAAAAGCTGAAGCTTTTTCTCACAGTCTTTGGGAAATCGACAAATTATGCAAAGAGTACTCTTTTGACTTACAGGTCAAGCTTTCGACAGTCTATGCTGTCATCTTAAGGAGTGCGTCGCCGTCGGCGAGATTGGTGCTAAAATTTGATTTCATAAAGTGTATACGAGAACACATGGTAGGATGATCAAAAACTGGATTCATGAGTATCTTTTTTGAAGAACGATGCAAAATATGAGTTTGTTTTACTGATAAACCACAAACTTTGAAAAAGTATCATTTAATGACGTCAGAGATGCTACCAATTCTCTTGAAAGAAAGAAGTCTAAAGATATTTATGATATGAGCACTCTTTTAATAAAAATGATCAAAAATAAAATCATAATGCCTCTAACCAAATTAATAAATATTTGCATTGAGTGTGGCATATTTCCGGACTGCTTAAAACGTGCAGTTGTGATACCGGTAAAATGGCGATACTGACACTATCGCCGAATATCCTATTCTCACCAAAATTTACGAAAAATGCTTGGTGAGACAAATGGTGTTACATTTTGAAGCTGATAACACGACCTTCGCAGTTTTGGAGTTGGTCGTCGACATAATTGACGTTTTTGAAGAAAAAGAATTCTTGCAAACCATATTCTGTGATTTGAGCAAGGCATTTGACTGTGTATCACATACCATCTTAATCAGAAAGCTCAGAATGTATTACTTCGGAAAAGCTTCGTGCAGCCTAATCAATTCGTATTTAACAAATAGAAAACAGCTAGTAAAGATCGGAATTAAATCGTCAGATAAAGCTTAATGAACACGGTGCACCCCAGAGCTCAGTTCGTGGGCCGATTTTATTTCTAATATATATTAATGATCTGCCGAGCCACAAGGATGGAAATTATATACCATTTGCTGATGATACTGCCATCTCTGTTAGATCAAAAAATATTTCTGAGCTTCTTGAGAAAGGTGTGATCCCACAGTCGACTGCCAAAAACTGGTCTGATACAAATAAGCTGACCCTGAATGAAAACAAGACAATTAATATGATATTTTCATTGAAAGATCCAGAAACACAACATACAGAACATACAAAATTTCTAGGTATACACGTAGATAAGAAATTGAAATAGGACATACACAGTAATGAAACAGCAAAAAAGCTAAGAAAAAACTTTTACCTACTTAGAAGCTTATCGTATGAGTTGAATAGTGATACGTTGAAGTCAGCTTACTTTGCTCTATGCCACTCTCTGATATCATATGGTCAGGGGTCTGATTAAATAAATGATAAGAATTTTCTATCTGCTTAGCAATTATTGAAGTTTGTTGTTTTGATTCTGGAACACATTCCAACATACAACTGATCCAAGTACATCCACTGTCCTTCTGTGGATTGAAACATTTATTTGCCCACTCTTTGTTGTTGTTATTATACAGGGTGTTCATTTGAAAACCTCCCACCACGAATTTATCAAAAACCACTGATTAAAAGAAAAAACGCCGAGACATGTCAAAAGATTTGTAGAGGGTGATAACCTTTAAACCAAAAGCTACTTCACCCCCTTTCACCCTCTGCCCCGAGGGACATCCCCATAAAAGTTTTGAATTACTAAGGATATCGAGTAATAGCTTTTTTGAAAGTTCTTTCTAGGCCCTTTATTTTGACGCTTGACTTTTTTAAATCGGTCGATTGGTTTTCGAGAAAATTAAACAAATCTGTGTTTATCTTAGTTCGTTCAGATAGAAAACAGAAACCCTTGAAAATATTACTTTTCAATTCAATAAGTGTTATTGGCCGTACAATAATATAGGCAAACCTTCAAATTCCAGACGGACACTTTCAAAAACATGTGGGATATTATGGCAGCTTTCGATGATGCGTTGACGAAATTCATCCAAACTTTCAGGGTGGGGAGTAAACACAATAAATTTCTAATGGCCCCACATAAAAAAAATCTAATAGCATCAAATCAGGAGGCCATTCCATATGCCCTCTTCGCCCTATCCAGTTATCTGGAAACTCGTCGTCTAGCCATTACCGAATCGGAAGAACATAATGAGGAGGAGCGCCGTCTTGTTGGAAATATATTTCAGCCTCATCAAGTATAGGGTTACCATCCTCTTCGATTTGGTTTTCAATGGTTTCAGTGATAAGCAGAGTGATGGTATTTTCCAACATATCCAAATAAATGTCTCCATTCAAGTGTCCGTTAATAAGCAATGGCCCAATCACTTTGTTTTCTAAAATGCGTGCCTATTCATTAATTGTTTGGGGGTACTGGGTATGCGGGATGAGGATTTTCATTGCTCCAATACCTTGCAGTTATGCTTATTATCAAATCCATTTACACACAAAACACAACTTCAAGTGAACCCTATCGTTTTGAGAGTTTACAAATCGCATAAATTAGAAAAAATTATAATGAATATACAGGGTGTTAATAAAGTGTGTAGACAAACTTCAACCATCGAATCCTGGTCAATTTGAAGACGCAATTTTCATACGAACATCATAAAGTTGATCAAATTATTTGATTGACATACGAAACCACGAAAAGAATCTTTTCTTACTGTCCCGCAATGAGTTGAACAAAACTTTGAAGTACCCAGAAGTATGTCGATTTTGCAGGAATGAGTGAATACGAGTACAAAACCGCCTATTTCTTCTTATTCGCTGCGTCCATATCAAGTGACTAGTACTTTCCTCTTCCGCGCTGTGTCCATTTCAAATAGCTAGCATCAACTGAATAGTCAAAACACGTGTGAAAAGGGAGTTACTGACAGCGAATTAAATTCTTTCTTTCCCTTAGCAACAAATAATTAATCAGGTATAACAATGAATACAATTCACCCAGGGTATCTGTGTCGATGAAAAGAATGCGGAAAAAAATTCGAGTTGTTATTTGGTTGTTGCCACGTCTAATCTTCCGATCTACTGCTTATGTTGGTGGGGCAATATTTTGAACACTTGTTGAAATAAAAAGTGATATGTTCGTATGTGTTTGTTTCCTATCTAAACAAATTAAAATAAATAAAGATTTTTCTAATTTTCTCGAAAACGAATCGAATGATTTTGAAAATTCAAACGTCAAAACAAAGGACTTTAAACGACCTTTTAAGCAAGCTGTCGGTACCCCTTGTCATTGAAAATTTTCAAGGAAATGACCTTGGGGGTCGAGGGTGGAAGTGGTCAAGTATTTTTTTCTCTAAATCCGTGGTGGAAATCAACACCCTGTATAATGGAGTATATAAACGTCTACTACTACTTACCGTTCGACTCCTCGTGCAAAGTTTTGGCAGATCCACCTTCTTCGTACCTGACATCAGCCTTATATCCGTTTTTATCAGCTGTGTACTTGACAATCTGTACCCTGCCATCCGGTAATTTTACTCGATATTCGCCTTTGGTTTTTTGAGCAGTATGTACTTGCGAATGGGAGAAGTCGTCACCTGTCGCACTGTCTACTACGTTGTACGAGAATGCGTAGTTTTTCTTCATCTGCAAAACAATCTGCGATTAGTAAATGTAAAGTAATGTAAAAAACCTATAAAACGTCAAAAACCCTATAAGATGTCAACTTGCAGACTAGGTAGTTTTTAGGGCGCAAACAGTCATTCCACGTTTGCTCACTAGGATCGTTGTGAACGTCCATCTATGGAGGAATCACTCAACGAAACTACGCATTATTGGTTGCATAGTTTTGTGACGCTGAGTGATCCGGGTCTGTAGTGTATGTACATATCTGAGAAGAAAGTTAGTTGAATAGCAAGATCGCATCTGGATGATGATGTGTATTATTCTGCATGTGTATAAAATCAGTGATATTTGCTATGTGAGAAAATCATTGCTGAATATGACAGGTTATTTATAAGGTTTTGCCTCAGACTCCAAATCATGTTCATATAATCATAACGGATTATCCTAGCTTAGATCAAATTTTTGCTCACACACTACAAAAGATTCAAAATACTTGCTGGCCCTTGACTAGTAATCTAAGGAAACATACTCAATGGCATTAGAAGTGTTATACCCAGAAAAAACTATTTCATCATCCTGTTTTTTTTTTTGCTATATTTAAAGCATACTGTCATGTCAACGTTTTATCTTTATTTTTGCTTACGTTTGTTAAAATCCGATCTCTTAGTTCTTAGTGATGAAAGCTTGTCAATAAAATTTGAGAATGTTATCGGTTCATTCTTGATGTAACACTACCTCATTGCCAAAAAATTAAGTTGAGGAAATTATTTTTTCTGGATGCATAGTATATACTTAATTTAGACTTTTTTATATATTTTCTAATATTGCTTGAGTAGCTTGGCCATTTCTATCATACTTTTTCTAACTAAAAAGGTATGTGTGGGCATTTGGTTCGTAGCCGGCAACTACGACTCTGGTTACAAATATTCTCTTTGAAGCAGCATACATTGTCTAAAAGGTATGACCCACTTCAGCTATGCACGCCTCTTGGAACAGACTGTGCCGCTTCCGGATTCCTCAAAAAGTGTCTTATAAAATGCAGGAGGAACTGCGCCTTTTACGGTAGCCGGAATGCAAAGAATATGCACAGAAACTCTCAGGCTGGGTATGCAGAACGTGTTGTTGCATTTCTCCACTTTTATTTTACTTGGCGTACGTTACGTTTGCGCATTTCGTGATAGTGACTGCCAAATGTGTGACCATAAGCATTTGAACTGGAGACAGAGGCTTCATATTCGTTCATCTATAACAGTGGTCGCCAATCTTTTCAGTGTGTTGAGCTACTTTGATAATTTTAGAATAAAAAGTTACCTAGTCGTAAGCAATGTAAGGCAACTTAAATGAAATTATACACAGTTGTATGCGACATACATGTGTTGATGTTACTAATGAACCGGTCGACGTGGTTTTTCTGGATTTTTCCAGAGCTTTCGATCGAGTTCCGCATAAAAGGCTCCTGCACAAGCTTGAACATCTCGGAATCAGGGGAAATTTGTTGTTGTGGATTGAAGCTTTTTTGTTAGACAGATCTTTCTCCGTCCGTGTTGGAGACGCCTATTCTTCTAGTCATCGTGTTACTAGTGGAGTTCCACAAGGATCTGTGCTAGGGCCAATACTTTTTCTTCTTTATACAAGCGACCTTCCCACCCGACTTTATTCTATGTGTTCCATCTATGCAGATGATACTAAAGTCTATAACACTGTCATGAACTCATCTGAGCTTCAAGAAGACCTCAAGCTGATCAGAAAGTGGTCAGAACTCTGGCTCCTGCCTTTAAATCTATCGATATGCTACGTTCTCTACCTGGGAAAGAATAATCCTAACTTAACATATAAGATTGGCAAACATACCTTAGAGACTGTTCTTCATCACACAGATCTTGGTCTGACAGTTAATGGCCGACTCACCTGGTCGGAGCACATTCAGAACATAACCTCTAAGGCAAAGCGGTTGCTATATATGATGGAAAGGTCATTTAGCGGTTGCACCGTTAGTACCTCCTCCTTTTTGTACACAACTTTCGTACGACCCCTACTGGAGTTTGCTGGTCCGGTATGGGATTCAAACTCAAACCTTGTTCGCGATAGCAGCTTATTAGAGGCCGTTCAGCGTCGTGCTACACGTATGCCATATGGCACACGTAGGCCAAGTTATGAAGACAGCCTCGAGCTATATAACCTGCCTGCTTTTGCTGAAAGAAGAGTACGAGGAGATCTCATCATCACTTTCAGAGCACTACATAATTTGTTTGGTGTGGACATGTCGCATCTGTTTCGTCTGGCAACGAACAGTCTCAGAGGCCATAACTTCAAATTTCAGAAGGAAGCTTTTAGAACCTCTACTCGTCAGCGCTTCATCTCAAACCGTGTCTTCGATGCATGGAACAGTCTTCCATCTTATGTAGTGAACTCGGAATCCGTCAACAGTTTCAAAAACAATTACGATAGACACCGCAGTGCTTAAACATATGGTTCCCATTCTGTATCTGTCTACTTCAGAAGTGCTAAGATTGTCAAATTGTTATATTTCTTTTGTCTGTACACTATTATCTATTTTTGTGTTTGAGTTTATAGTACTTGTACTCAACTCAAATTTGTTGTTTAATAATTAATAATAATAATAATACTATCATACTTTGATTCCTACCCGTAGGTGTTTGAAAAATAAACAAAAATTTTCGTCAGCTACAATGGCATGTCATACGATTTAATAAAGGTAACTAAAAATATAAAAGCAACGCACTATTTTAAACAAAGCATGTTCAGATAAAAAATGCGTGTTCAATGAGACGCCTGACGCTCAGACTCACTGACAATTTTTTTAATGTTTGGAGTATAATATTCATCTATAAGTCGTTTACGGTATTTGTTTTTAATAAAATTCGTATTTGAAGAAAAAGATTCACACAATTAGGTTGAACTAAATAACGCTTTCACTTTCAAGGCCACACAACATAAAACTGTATATTTATCTTTACTTACTGAAGGCCAGATACATTTTGTGTTTGAGATTAATGATTTCAAAGCTAAATCATTTTGAAACGCTATCATTTCCATTTCTGTCGCTAAAATTCTGCGTAACAGAAGTTCAAACTGTTGGATATCAGTTTCCATGAAGGGTGAAACAGCAAATTGCAATTTCGTTGAAATCCTTTGAATGATTTTTGAAGTTATTCTTCGAGTTAGAGACTATTTCTACATGATATTTACTGTCATATGGTTCTAATGGACTTTTCATCAAAAACTCAAGCTGTTTGATAAACGCTTCTATATTACTCTGTTTGAAAAATTGAACTGTAGCAGATATGATATCATTAAAATGTTCCAGCACTCGTCCCATACTTAACCATCGGACTTCAGAGTGAAGAAGTAGTTCCCCCTATTGACCACTCAATTTCATCGGCCAAGGTTTTGAATAATCTTCTTTGTGACGCTTGAGCACAATTTTTACTACCAATTTCACAACGTTTTTGAGTTTTAGAAAATGTGCACATAATGCTTGCTGATGGATAATGCAGTGGAACAGAGAAATTGCGGACAACTTTTATCTTTACGACATAACCCCACGAGACCGTTATCACGACCCACCATAGTTGGAGCGCCATCGCTTGTCAAGCTTATCATTTTCGATATTGGAATTTTCTCAGAAGAAATAATATTTGTAAAAGAAGAAAACAAGTCCTGCCCATCTGCTTGTGTTTATTATGAGAATTTACAAATTTTACGGAAGCTTCTACAGTTTTTACACCTTCTTAAGATATGTTGTGAGCCACCAGAATTGCCTTTCGAGCAATCGACGAGTTGGCGACCACTGATCTATATAAGCAAGTTCGCAGGACCTCATACAGGGTGGCCCAACGAAAAGGTCGCACACATATTTGTGTCTCTCCTGGTATATTTTGGGAAAACGCCCTGACACGTCAATTTTGGTTTTTAGGGACGTCTTGCCATATATAGCCGTACAATACAGGTTGATTTTTGATTTTTATACCACACTGGAAGAGCGTTTGGACCGACGTGTTTAAATGCTCTTGGTTTAGCTGATTTTTCGATTAACAACAAAGGACGTTTGAATGCACCAGAAGCATTGCTACAAGTAAGGATAGTGACACGTTCTTTATTGCGTTTGTAACCAGAAGCTAAACTTTTCGCCGCTAACATTTTACAGTTTAGGCCGGTTTGGTCGCAGTTGTAAATTTTTCTGGATTTTAACCATATTGCTTCATTAATTCTTTAAAATGTTCTCCAAATTTTAATGCAGCGGTTTATCGGCAGTTAACCTTCCTCCGCAAACTTTTAATTCTCGTATACCGTGTCGTTTTTTCCATCTTTGCATTCCATCTTTAAAGGGGAACTACCGGCGTTTTCGAGACGGCGGCACACAACTAAAAAACGTATGTCTTTGAGCTCACCGAACAAACCTTCGCACACAGGGGTAGGTTGCATGTGTACGTATGAGGGAGGTGGATATATGTATATAAAGGGATGCTGGTAGTCTTACTTTGACCACTCTGAGACTTAACCCAGGCAAGGACCGGAAGTTGCCCCAGAACTACCGGCCCATCAGCCTGGTTTCCTCGATGGGCAAAGTAGTCGAAAAGGCTATCGCCGTTCGACTAGAGAAGCAGGCAGAAGAACTGCAACTTCTCCCCCCAGAGCAATTCGGCTTCAGATTCTCACACAACACGGAACTCCAAGCGCTACGACTGACGGAAAACATCACAAGCGGCTTCAATCTCCAGGAGGCAACCGGTCTCGTCCTGCGGGACGTGGAACGAGCCTTCGATCGAGTTTGGCACGATGGACTCATCGCCAAAATGGAAGCCGCCGGAATCGATGCGAACATGTGCCAACTGATCCAGAGCTATCTAACACAAAGATGGTTCACGGTGAAGATTGGTACATGCCATTCAACAAGATGACAGCTGGAAGCAGGCGTGCCCCAGGGGTCAGCCTTAGCCTCCCTGCTCTACAACATCTATACTCACGATGTGCCGAAGACAGCTGACACAATGCTGGCC